ATCGTTTTAAGACTTATTCCTACTGAATAAGGCGAGCAGAGACAATATTTCAAAATATTATTAAAATGTGAAAAAAGCATTTTTTTCCATTTCTATAGTCTAACGCGAAAAATTAGAGGATTTTGTTTTTCGGCATTTTTCACTAGTACATCGGAAAAATCTAATATTCTGAATTGATAAGTTCCGTGATATGATCTCTCGTTTGAGCTAAAAAGAATTTAACTTCGATCAGCTTAGGTGATGTTATAGCAGACCCTCTCTTGAATATGTTAAACATAATATTGTTGAACTTGTCGATATTTGAAAATATAAAAAGTTCAGGTTAATCTTGCAAAAAATTGTTTGGGAACTATCTCGAAATATATCAGCCATGATTCTAGACATTCTCTATTTTAGTAGATTCAAATTGACTCTCGAAGTATTTTATGTGCGAGAAAAAACTTTGTTGTTGTGTATCTCTGATTTTGATAGAAGGATATAAAGAAATGCTTGTATTACTAAAAGATCAAAATCATGAAATCTGGATTTAATATGTACTCGAACAATCAACAGATTATAAAACGAGCAGCTTGATTTTAGAAACGAAATCAAAACTAAAAAAAGTGACTTTGCAGATGCCTAGTTCCGATTCTGAATATTGTCTCTAAATTTCATCAATATTCAAAGTTCGAAATTATCGATCTGTAAACTATTGTTGTTCATTGAAAGTCAACAATGAGAAATCTTATTAAAATCTTTAGTTGTTTCGATCGTTTTTTGAAATCTGTTAATATTTAATCAAATAAATTCATAGAAAAATATCTTTCAATTCGTTTAATTAATGATGAAAATCTTATTGGTCTTGAATATTTAGAGAGATTAATATAAAAAGGTTGAGATGAGGTCGTGCTGATCGTGCTATTCAATTAATAAAATATATTTATTTGAATATAAATACACAATTAAAAAATTATATTAAACGTACACATCAAACATTTATTCTTGAATGTTTTCTCAACATATAAAAATAGTTTATGATTGTATTAAAACAAAATCAAATCGAAGAACATATCAAGAAAAATTTAATTAATAATAGGTATTTTAATTCTATTAAGAAAATCTATAGGTGAATGTTATCTTTCTTATCATAAACAAAGATGTATTTAACCTATGTCAACATAAAATAATTCTTAGAAAACCTATTCAATAAATAAATTTTTTCTTTTTTTTTAAAGATCATTTTCTGGTCGAACAGTAACATTAATTATTCGTTTAACCCTTTCAATACCAACATTTTCTTGCGTTCTGCACGAGCAGGAAAAAAAGATAATTTAATCTCTTTCTCTTGTGTTCAGCTATCACAATCATATGTGTTCGAAATCCAGATTCATTATTCATAGCCATACGAATTCATTTTCCTTTCAACTTGTCCTATGGTATTCGTCGTCTAAGAAGACGACAGAACGCAAAATATTTCTTTTCGTTCTGTATCTCATCTACGAGATGTAGAGAGCTGCGGGTCCATGTTTTTTGGACCCGGACCCGGGCCCCGGAAAAACTAAATTTTCAGACCCGGACCCGGACCCGGCTGAGTCTAGACTCAGACCCGATCCTCTTTTCACCAATATTTGACACCCTATGTGTACATGAACAGAAAAGGGAACACAATTTTAGCTCTTCATTGGAGACTTTAAAGGTCAAATGAGTGTAAAATTATTTCTGACTGTTTCTTTTTCAATTTTGTTAACTTCAATTGTTATTGTTATATATTTCCATTCATAACTTAATGCAGACCGGGTCTGACTTTCCTCTTAGGTTTAGACCCGGACCCGGACCCGGGTCCGGTAAAAGCTAAATTTTCAGACCCGGACCCGCAGCTCTCTAACGAGATGTGATGCGTTAACGAAAGGGTTAAATACGAGTCAATAATCGACAAAGAGAAGATTTTCGATATTCATGTCATTTAAATGAAACATGGAGACAACATTTGACAAATGGTTTATGATTCGTATTAATTGAATTTTATTTAAATACAAAGCAACTTATCATATTCTTAAATTCTATAGAAATCAATGAAATAATTTATCCATAAGATGATAATAAAACGTTAGCACGAAACGGATCGAGAGGATAGAATTGCCAGGAAATAACAAAAATAAAAAATTAATTTAATTAATTATTTTATTATATTTCGATAATAACAGTTCGTTGAATTCAAACTTCGTATCAAGCTGATTCAACTGGTGAAAGTAGTTCATCAAATGGAGGAATCAATATCAACGTACAATCATATAATAATATCTAGGCAAATTTTCTTTTTTTCATTTCTCTCCTTTGTTCAATCACAAGAAAAATAATATGATAAACATGCCGCACAACAGTACGACGTGTTCGTCAGAAGTCAATCAAAAGATAAAAATATATTTTGTTAAGAATGGATCGATATCCTAATAACCAAACGTACGGATACATAGATTTTCATTATGCAATGAAAGAACACCAAGTAAGATTTTAAAAAAATTCCAACGCATCGTCATTAGAATTTTTTTTACGTAGTCAATGGTTTATTCTATTCAGTGTATTGTATTGTCTACTTGATTGGTGTTGCACTAGTGTTCATATATTTTGTCTTTCGTCCTGTACGTCATCTTCATCCTCAACATTTTGCTCCTACTGATGCATTTATACGGCGAACTCGTCTACATTGATTGAAGAAAATTTATTTTATGATTCATGATCAAAAACACAAGAAACTACTTTAAAATTTCGTATCGTTTATGTTATTTATTCACTAGAACTTCTAACGATGTCGACCAATGATGATCAACCCTTTTAAATGCTTTTCATGTATCGTGGTTAGATTTTCTACTTTAACTTGTAGTGTAGCTTGTTTTATGAAGAGATTATATTAGGTTTTTATTCGTTTTTCCCCTTATTTTCTTGTTTTTCGATTAGCTTTTCCTTTTCAACATGTTGATTTCTTTCATTTTTCTGCTTGTTGATGTTTATCTACATGATTTCGAACAACTTTGCCAAATTTCACTGGTTTTGATGTTGAAAATTCGACATTAGCTGGTGTAACAGGAGGAATAAAAGCATTTAGATTTTATATATATATGTATATATACAGATAGTCCAAAAAGTATTGGGACACCCTTATGTCCTCTCGTATTTCGTTATTTGTGCGATAGGAACCAGAAATCTTTTACCAGTAGATAGTGCCGACTTCGTACTACATTTCCTATAAAAATCGGCAAATAAGTCAATGATTTCGAATGACAGGAACGTTTCTCATGAACATATCAGATTTTTCAATATTAATACAATGGTACAAGTAAGAGATGACAATAATCTTTTTCAAAAGTACTCTCAAAATATACCGCTAGAATGCCCGTCAAAAACTGTACAAAAGTGAATGTTTTAAAAGATTTTCACTGTTAAACTTAAAATCAACAGAGGAATATTATATTTGAATACTAATATTATACGTAGTCCTTGAACGAATACACAACTACCTTCATAAGGAAAGTTAGTGCAAGGCCATATTTTCTAAAGAATATGATAAAGAAAACAATTCTCTACAAACTGATATATTAATAAGCAATGTATCTTTATAAATATAATAATTCTAATAAAATGAAAAACAACATGAATGATCAACTAAATCAAATATTGATTTAATACATCTTTAATATTATTTTTTTCATCAAAATACGTTCCGAGGATGACCTCGCAATGGCCGAAAATTCAACATTATGATTATTTACAATTAAAAAATTATTATATTTCATATAGCTTGACTTGTATTGGCATTTGTAGCTATTGAAAATAAATACAAATAAATGTATTAAATCAATATTTGATTTAGTTGATCATTCATGTTGTTTTTCATTTTATTAGAATTATTATATTTATAAAGATACATTGCTTATTAATATATCAGTTTGTAGAGAATTGTTTTCTTTATCATATTCTTTAGAAAATATGGCCTTGCACTAACTTTCCTTATGAAGGTAGTTGTGTATTCGTTCAAGGACTACGTATAATATTAGTATTCAAATATAATATTCCTCTGTTGATTTTAAGTTTAACAGTGAAAATCTTTTAAAACATTCACTTTTGTACAGTTTTTGACGGGCATTCTAGCGGTATATTTTGAGAGTACTTTTGAAAAAGATTATTGTCATCTCTTACTTGTACCATTGTATTAATATTGAAAAATCTGATATGTTCATGAGAAACGTTCCTGTCATTCGAAATCATTGACTTATTTGCCGATTTTTATAGGAAATGTAGTACGAAGTCGGCACTATCTACTGGTAAAAGATTTCTGGTTCCTATCGCACAAATAACGAAATACGAGAGGACATAAGGGTGTCCCAATACTTTTTGGGCTATCTGTATATAATTGATAATAAGATTTAGTAGTTGTCAGTCAATATGAACTGTTTGATCTTGAAGAGATATCGAAATAATTCTATGAAATAAATTAAATTTATAGTTTTGTTAGACCAGGTATATAAACTAAAACTAATGTTTTGTTTGGTTAATGAATGACAGTGAAATAAATAGATGAGATCGATTTCTAGAGACGATTGGTTTTTTTCTCATATCGATTTAATAATATAGAATATGAATTAATTAATTAATTAATTAAGCCTTTATTATTTGATCAATAAAATATTTGAATCTGATCGACGCTATGATTATTGTCGATAAGATGGGGGTGACAGATTTGACTGATACCCCACTATTAATTTTTTCATTCACACAATAGAAAAATCTGATTTTTGTACTACTTATACTACATGTATAATGCTATTCATCTACACTATTTGAAATCTATATATCACTAGAAATGAGAATTATTAAGTGCATCTTTTATTTATTGTGCTAAACGTGCTTCACGTCATCTATGTTAACCTATATCATCCCTACCAAGAGGTCTGAAACAAAACCAAAGATGAGTATATAGCTTCATTTTCAAACAATTAATAAGATAATACAATTTATCATGTTATTTATCTACGAATAAAATGTTTATTCAAGTTCAAATTACATAAAGCAGCAACGACTTGTATGATTTTAGTTATTTTATGAAAATCATCAACAGGTCCTCTGTAAACACCACCAAGAATAGAATACGTTTTAAGACGTTGATTAATATTTTCAATCGCCGCTCTCGCACTATTAATATCACGATTGAAATCTTTATCTTCTTGTGTTAATTCACGTCCACGAGGTTTCTTTCTTGGAGTTACTACATATTCTTCACCGATATACCCCTTGTCACCAATAATTTGTACAGATTCTTCAACAGGTTCTAATAGATCTGATTCTCGAAGAACTGTAATATCATGTATACTTCCATGGTACCATTAAGATACATGTACTATTCGATGACGAAAATCACAAGCTATTTGAACTTTTATTGCATAATTTATTGGACATTTTGCATGATAATATTCTTTACGTTTTTCTGAATCATGCGGTTCAGGAATTGCAATAAAAGTCGAGTCAACAATTAATTTATGATGTTGTTGAGGTCCATGTGGTGTTCTTCTGTTAGCTAGATCAGCAGGTAAAGAAAGGAATGCTTGATATACACACGAATATAAAATATCCACTACTGCTGATAAGAAATAATTCACCACTTGTTGACTAAGATTCAATTCTGAAGCAATGTAGCGTTCAGAATGATAATGTTTTAAATACCATAATGTAACCACAAGCAAATTCATTGAAGACAAATAGGATGTGTTGGTATTGTTCCAATGTAACTTGTTTCTATGGGAACAATAATTTACTAATGATTCTTCACACATAGAATATAAGTCTTGTACTTGTTCAACGTCGTGCCCAGTATGCTGTATGCAAGATGCATCAGTACGTTCCCATTCTGACCATGGACGTTGATCTAAAATATATAAAAAAGTGCCTCATAATGATTTATTTTGACTACTAGTGTAGATGTAGATAATGAGCTAAGAGGTGCATGCATAAATCGTACATAGCTGCTGTACTTACTATCATCTAAAATTTGAAAATGTTCTTGAATAGCAACTTTCTTCTCTTCCATATTTTTTTGTCTTTCTTCTTCAAGTTCTGGTGTACAATAATCACAGTTGTCACGATGACGATAATAATTGGTGTACAAACCAGATTTTTGCGAACCAGTACATGTCCAAGTTAGCATCGAATCGCAATCAGCACAATATTTTCGACGATCAGTTGGACCAGATTCGCATTGAGTACAATGCCATTCAATTTGTGAAGAAAACATAATTCAAGTGTAGTATGTATTTGTTATCGATAGAAAGTGTGTTAGAGAGAACGAAAAATAAAGGAAAGCGAGAAAAATACAACAAGAACAAGAATGACTAAAATTGAATATATCACTAGAATAGAATGGATAAATATACCGACCATAATATGTAAGCAAATATGATGTGAAGCACGTTTAGGACAATAAATAAAAGATGCACTTAATAATTCTCATTTCTAGTGATATATAGATTTCAAATAGTGTAGATGAATAGCATTATACATGTAGTATAAGTGGTACAAAAATCAGATTCTTCTACTGTGTGAATGAAAAAATTAATAGTGGGGTATCAGTCAAATTTGTCACCCCCAGATAAATAAATATAAATAATTTCAATTATTTATTGTTTGAATAAGATTTATCAGTTGATTGGCTCTGTTGTTATTCATCTTCGTTATCTTAGAATATATTCAAATAAAATAATCTGTCATCGATTAGTTTCGACTAATATTCTTATATAATAAAATAATAGTTTAAACAAATCGAGATTTTTTTTTAATGATTAATTCGATCAAACGATGATATCTTGTTGAATAATTAAATGAGAATAAACTTCGAAGATAAATGAGAATCAATATAATTAGTGTCATTAAGAAAAAAAAACACGAAGTTCTATCGTTGAGTTAAGATTTGTGGTGATTTATTAAGAGGCTCGTTCTAGTACTTCGATTTTGGTTTCAAACTGAGTATTTAATGGTGAGGTGAACCGTTTTAGATGTTGTTAATGTTAAGAATTTCTATCCTCAGTTTGATTAGACTAGCAAATATAAATAATATGATTTAAATAGTAATATGACACAACACTGATTATATCAATGTCTTCTGTTGATTAATTAGATTTATTTATTGAAAACATTAACTTATGTAAACATATTGTTCGTCAAGCGCTTTCATTTTTAGATTAATCATTTGTTGAAAACAAAACACAGAGTTTTTTTTTCTTATTATTTCATATTGAAAAAAATACTGAATAGTTGTGTTGTCTAATTATAGAATGAATGAATGAATTATTAAGATTTATTATGAAACGATATTAAGATAAAATAGTTGATCTATTATTTTAATTTTGATCGTTTATTGTCGAAGAATTCGTCGATGGACAAAGAGCACAAAAAAACAAAAGAGTTTATTTTATTTAAAATTCTTTTCTATATAATATTGAAATTTAAAATATAGATAAAACAATCATATTTAATAATAAAACGAAATTGATTGATTAAATTCAATAATAATCTTCATATATATTGTTAAATTATATAAAATTAAATTAAAAATTTTATTTAAATTATTTGTAAAAGCCAATTATCGATATAAAATGAATAAAATTGAATTTGATTAGAATTTACAAATAATGAATAAATAATAAAATAAAATAAAAAAAAAGCAAAAAGAGATGATTTAAATTAATGAAAACCAATCATCAGTAATAGCAAATACTTGTTGAAAAATAAATTGATTTAAAAAAATTTGATTTCCTTTATAAACTCTATGAATAATATCTGTTTGTTTAAAATGTTTTGATTTAAATATTTGAATAGCTTGTTTATTAAAATAAGGTAATGATATTAACATAAATCCATCATAATCAGAAGCACATTGTTTTAATAATAATAATGCTATATTTATATTATCAGCATATAATGGTCCACATTTAATAAATTGTTGACTAAAATTTAAAATAACATAACCTAAAATTGAATTTGTTTTTTTTGAACGTGCAACATAACCAGCTATTGAATAAATATGTTCACGTAATTGTTCAAAATATTCAATACGATATGTTGGATATATTTTATGATCATATGTTGCTATATCAAGTATATCTGATAATTCATATAATTCAATATTTATATCTTCATCAACAATTAGTTTTCTATTATAAAATTCACTAAGTTTTCCAACAAAACCAATTAAAGAAAATGATATTTGAAAACC